ACGTCGTCTTTTCTTGATCATCAGGATCTATGGCAATCTGGTTGTAACCTGAGAAACCATCAAGGAAACAATAATACATGAATCCAGCCAATCTATCTAGCATTTGATCAATAAAGGGAAGTGGGAAGTGGTCCTTTCTGGTAGCTTTATTAAGCTTTCTGTAGTCCATGTACACTCTCCATGAATTGTTCAGCCTTGTAGGGATCAACTCCTAGAGATCATTTTTTATTACTGTGATTCCTCCTTTCTTGGGCAAGCACTGCACTGGACTCACTCACTTACTGTCAGATATTGGGAATTGTTCAGCCTTAATGTCTGCAATTGACCATCCAATGGCTTCCTTGTGCAGCCTCAGCACTCTTAGTAGCTTATCCTCTTCAGTATCTGTAAGCATAGAAGAAATGATCACAGGTAAGGTGTTACTTGCTCCAATATAGGCGTACTTCAAATGTGAAGGCAGAGGATTAAGTTCTAGATGAGGTGGTTCTTCAATAGAAGGGTTGAGGCATCTTCCTTCCTTAGTCAGGTCTAACAGTTCAAAGGGTTGTTGTTTAGGATGCCACTTGGGGGAGTGGTTCAGGTAACTCAGGCAAGTGATCCTGTACTCATCCCCTCCTTCCTGTTCCTCATTACTGTCTGGGCATAAGAGTTCCTTGAGGAGCTTATCTTGCAGTATTTCTTCTGTCACTGCTTCTTCTACTTCTACACTTCTTACCATGTAGCAGTTATGGACTTCAACAGGATATCTCATATTTTTGAAGATGTTGAAGGTAACCTTCTCTCCATCAAAGTGCAGTTTGATTTCTCCCTTTTTCACCTTAATGATTGCATCACTTATCGCCAGAAAAGGTCTCCCCAAGATGATGGGCATATCCCTGTCCTTTTCCATGTCCAAAACCACAAAGTCTGCTGGGTAAACGAAATTCCCAACCTTCACAAGAACGTCATGTAAGATTCCCTTTGGGTAGGTTGGTGACCTATCTGCCAACTGCAACATCATGTTAGTAGATACCAGAAATTTATCCAGATCAAGTGATTTAAATACGGACAATGGCATGAGATTTATGCTTGCACCAAGGTCTAGTAATGCTTTTGAAAATTCTCTGATTCCTACCGTACAAGGAAGAGTGAAACTACCCGGATCTTTTAGCTTAGGTGGCAATTTTCTCAGAATAGCTGCACTCCATTCTTCATTTAGAGTGACAAAAGCAGAGTCGTGCACTTGTGGTTTATTAGCCACCAAATCTTTCAAGTACTTGAAGTATTTAGGCATTTGTTTAAGTGCATCAACAAGTGGTACATTAATATGTATGCTTTCCAAATTTTGAATAAACCCGTTCACCCCTTCATCCATCTTGGTCTTCTTTTGTCTTTCCAGATATGGTGGTATTGCAGCTGGCTCTTGTGGCTTCTTAATTGGTGCTGGGAATTGAATTTCCTCCATTCCAGGTTTTTCAGCTGCTTGCTCCTGTTCAACCAAATCATCATTATCAGATATTTTCTCAGAAAATGTTTCATTCTTACCTGCAGGGCCACTCACGGGAGTGACTTTTTCACTTGGCTGATTGAGTTGTTTTCCACTTCTAAGAGTGATAGCCTTTGCTTGCTCTTGATCATTCCCCTTGGGGTTTACAACTGTATCACTGGGCAGGCTTCCAGATGGTCTTTCAGCATTTTGTTTTGCAATCTGAGCCAACTGATTTTCCAAACGTTTGCAAGACACCGCCAAATTCTTGATTGCATTTTGCACAGAAATCCATTCATCTTCCCTTGGTATGTATTGCTGGTTAGAACACTGCTGATTTTGATAGCTGGGAGGTTGGCCATCTTGTTTGTGAAATCCTGCGGGTTGAGTAGGCTAGTTCCCTTGTTGTGGTGCATTGTTCCAGTTAGGCTGCTGCTGATTTCTCCAATTGTTGAAGTTGTTGAATCCTCTAGCATTGCCTTGCCTGACAAACTGGACAGCTTCCATTTTGGAGGGACAGTCATCCAAATTGTGAGATCCATCACATAACACACACACTTCAGCCTTGGATTTGGACAGCTCACTCCTGAGTTTTGTCATTTAATTCATCATAACAGCCATTTGTGCTTGAAAGTGTGTACTGGGGTCAAGCTCCATCACTCCTGGCTGTTTTGTTGCCCTTGGATCAGATTGCCACCTTGAATGGTTGGTGGTCATATTGTCAAGCAACTGCCTTGCTGCATCAACCGACTTCATCATAAACACATCACCAGCTGCAGCATCAAGGGAGTCTCTTGTAGTTGGTAGCAACCCATTGTAGAAGATGCTCAGTTGGAGATGCTCTTCCAAACCATGCTGAGGGCATTTCCTGATCATTTCCTTCAGTCTTTCCCATGATTCATAGAGTGTTTCAGTTTCATGCTGCTTGAAATTCATTATTGCTGTTCTGAGTTGTGCAGCTTTTGCGAGTGGAAAGAATTTTGTAAGGAAGCATTGTCTTAACTCTTCCCAAGTGGAGATAGAACTGTTGGGTAATGTATTGAACCATGCTTGGGCATGATCATGCAAGGTAAAAGGGAATAACCTCAGTCTAATGTCATCATTGGATAAGCCTTGAATCTTAAAAGTACTGCATAAACGCAGGAAACTTCGGATATGATCATTAGGATCTTCATGAGGTAATCCATGGAACGGGCAGGCTGACTGAGTCCATTGGATCATCTGTGGTTTTAACTCAAAATTGGTTGCCTCTACATCGGGGAACACCAAAGGGGATTGGACTTCTTCTTGTTGCGAAATAAAGAAATCTCTAAGCAATCTCTCTGGTTGATTTTGTTGATCCCCACCAGGGTTCCTATTGTTCTCCGAGTTACCACCTTGGTTAGCCATTTCTGATGAACCTTCTTGGCGGTTCTGATGCAACCGATTATGCCTTCTTTTTGCCGCTCTAGCTCTGCGTATAGTAGCTTCAATTTCTGGATCAAAAACTAGTTCACTTCGTTGGTGCATTCTAGTCATACACCAAAGAAAAGAAACTGGAAGCTTAGTGGAGTAACCAGAGAAGAATTTTATATATTTACAAATGAATGAAAACAACAAATTTTGGAGGTTTTACACCGTCCCCGGCAACGGCGCCACTTTCTGGTGCGTGCCGAGTTCACCAAAAATATTACTAGCTTGGATTGTGATTTTTGTAGATAATGGAAGCTAGGTCAATCCCACGAGGACAGCTAATTACCAAATTCGTTGTTAAAAGACTACCAGTTTAGATAAGGTGTCACTCAGGGGAATGGAAATAGTCACTCAGGGGAATAAAAGCCAGGGGTGTTCATCTCCTCTTCCTACTGCAGTAGTTGTTTAATCAGTACTGTAATGGTTAAGTTCTTGTTCATTCAGCTCACTTATAACTCTAAGTCGGTTCCCATTTTTCCTAAAGTCATCTTTGCAACCTTAACAATTTATTTTCCAATGATTGATTCCAGTTAAAAAGTCATTAAGATCTCAGGCTTACATGAATGTTCATGTCAACTAAGTATATTCCTATCTTAGTGTAAACCATAGACTGTTACCTCTATGTCATAAGTTGAAGTTGAAACAATCCAAACCAAGTTTATCTTTCCAGATCTCCCTTAGTTCTAGCATGCATTCAATATAGTGATCAAGTAAATGAATGTAGAAAAACTTTCAACTTCAAAACGAAGAACAAAACCAGTGCATTACAACAACTCCAACATAGGTTGAGGAGATTAACCCTGGAAGCTACTTAGCTACTCAAGCAGATTAATGCTACATCTACTACATTAAAAGACATCATAGAAGTATGCATCATAAAACGAAGTTCAAGCTAACAGTCAAGAGACGAGAAAAAAGCTTGTGCAGTTCTGAACCACTTCTGAGAGTGAAAGAGTTCACTCATGGAGGTGACGCAGTGACTGGGATGGCTGTTTCTTCAACTTGGCTTCCTTACTGAGTTGTTGCTGTTCCTTCTTCCTTCTTGCCTTCTTCTGGAGTTTTTTTTTCTGTGTTCTTGGCAATTGAAAGGTTTAGCCAGAGATGTCCATTTTTGAGAGTGCAGCTCCCCTTTTATAGAGCCCTGAAGCCGGTTCTTCAATCAAGAGAGCCTCCCCATGCTTGTGAATCGTTTAATCCTTCCTAGGCCTTGTGCCTGGAATCCGAAATTGACTGGTCTTCTTCTCTTCTTCCAGTAGTGGCAGCAACAACCTCATTGATCAGCATGGGTGGTTGGAATTTCGGCCAAAGAGACAAGTATGCCTTTGGAATTCAAATGAGAGACACACTCATTAATGTCAAGATGCTTTGTGTCTTGGGAGTGCTTTTTCGACCAGCTCAGCAAAATTGTATTAGCAGCCCACAATTTGTTCCTTTGGCCCTAATTTTTAGTAATTGTTCAATCAAGTCCTAACCTAATAGAAAACACAAAAACTAGTTAAGTGAAATGCACTAATACTAAGAAATACCCCTAATTTCTTACTAAATTCAGAGTTAATTGTGATGCTTTTATTTAACAAATAAACCATTATCAATCCTCTTTGGCGTAGACCCAAAAAGTTTGGCATAAGCTCGAGTGCAACGCCTTTTCTCTTGACCAGCTAATGATTTCAGGATCCTCTGATAATTGGGCAACTCAAACTTCCATTCTACAGCAACACCATAATCCAGCCAAGCAATGTATTTCTCCTCTTGATTCTCATCGGATTCGGCACCAACATGAAGAGAAAAGGCTAGGATAAAGAGTTTGTAGGCTTGGCTCTATCGACGTAAGGAAAAGAGTATTGCATGGATCTTCTTTTACCTCTTTTGCAGTTAGAACTCATGGAACCTCTCTTGTCATAAATCCATGCATATTAGAGTATCTTTTGGCTTGCGAAGAAGCAATCGTTTGCTCAGCTTGATCGCCATTAGAATCAGTCTGCTGACTTTGCTCCTCATTGCAACCAACCACCTTTTTTGAGGCACTCTCCACTTCCGACAACTCGATCTTGCCCATATTTGCCCGTTCCTCCACTTGTGTCTTTCAACGGTCTTGATCCGATTGTTCAAGAGAAACAGAACCGGCCGATGAATCAAGTCGCCGAGTTTGATCATCATCATTGCAAATCAATTTTGTGGATACATCACCAGCCATCAATGATGTAGTCGTGTTTGTTTCAGCTTGATCAATACCGAGTCTCATGAATCTATTTTTATCTTGTTGAATAAACTGTGAAGAAACAGAAGCTGATGAGGCAGATTCCCCATGCTGCCGACCATTGCATATTGACCCTTTTGACATTCCATCAATTGTCGGCGAAGTGTCCTTAGTCTCATCACTATCAAGCATTATCAATCGGCCTTGTTCTTTGTGATTGATATTTGAAAAATCTGAAGTTATGTCAGCTATGCAACCAGACTGTCGAACACAGCTATCATCAGAAGACTCGTTCTTTTGATCTTGAAACACGTTCCTTGAGCTATCTTCAATTGATGACACCTTCATCTTACTCGTTGCAGCGAAATCAACCCCGGCTGAATTCAAGCAACACTGTTCTTGGTGCTCCAATGGTAAGGAACTCAAAATTTGATGGGAAGGGCAAGAATGTCGAATCTGATCATGATCAATAAGACTCCTATCCGGTTGATCTTTAACCATATCCTTCAAACCATCTTCAATGGATGACAACGCCGTTTCAGTTGCCTCAACTAACTCGACCTTGAGTATTGTTGAATGACATTGTTGCTGATGACCCATAAATCTGCTATCCATAAAACTTCTATCAATACAGTATTGAGGTTCAACATCATATCAGTCTCTGCAATCCATTTCATTTCCTCGTCTACCTCCTCACTGCTTGTAGACTCACCATATTCGCTTTGTAGATCAAGACTCTCTTGAAAGCCATTAACATCAGCCTCCATGTCTTTACTCAAACCACCAAACATTTCTTCTATGTTCACGATGGATGTATGAAACTGACTTCAATTATCATCAATCTCGGCCAACCCACTTATATTAAACATGGATGATGGGTATCTCGCAAGCTGACCTCTATCACCTCTACTAACAATCACAAAACCGAACTGAAAACAGGAATCAACATGATATTGAAAAGTACCCATACTTTCTAGACTGAGTGTGTAAGGACTCGTGGAACAAACAACACCAAGTTGATGTGTATCATTGTAGACTTCTGATCGTCCGTCGGTTCGCTCAAACTGCAAGTCAAGACTATCTAATAAGCAAGATTTATCATCAGAAATTTGCCCCTCGGGCATCAAAGAAATTTCTTGAGAATAGCAACTATCTAAATTAGTCGGCCCTTTACCAGTCAGTAACATCATTCTGGATTGCTAATCCCGTTCATGACTGACATCACAATAACTTGTACCTACAAAGATCTGTTTCTTGTTAGCCAACCATTTTTCCTGAACATACTACCCAGCTGTGGAATCACCAACCATGTGGACCTATCCAAAATATGCATACTGTTGGTGTTGCGAATGTAAATGCTGAAACAAATGATCATGCGTCGAAAATATCGAACACCGATTCTGCTCCAGTGACACTCATGACTGATTCTTCATTGATGGTATTAGCACATAAATTGGCGAAAATGATTCTTGCAATTGTCATTGATTTGACTTAAACAAACTCTCAAAAGATCGACTGGGCACCAGTTGTTGATCAAACTCGCTGTTTCGCACCATCTGTCTCTGACATTGTAACATTTTCCCTTGGAACTCATTAGATGGTACCATCTTCTGGTTAAATGGAATATCCTGCTCATGGAACACCGCTGAATCTTGTTGAAACTGACAGGAATGTATCACTTGTTGCTGACCATCCTGATCTTGTTCTGCTGATGACTGCCACTCCTCGAGTTGTGTTGGTTGTATCGGCAATTGGTTTTCTACTAATCCCTGCAACTGTGTTGTCTTTCTTTGAGCCTGTTGATCCATCAGTCGCGCATTCGGTTGATAACATACTAAGGATGATTGGTTTCCCACTGCCGATTGTTGCACTTGCTGACATTCTAACGTTGACTGCTGCAACTTTATCATTGATTGCTCAACTTGCCGAGGCATTCTTAATGACGTTTGCAACTCTTGGAGTGGCGCCCATAATCGCCGCATCCATTCAGACTCTACCAATAATAATTGTTGCATTGGCTGGATTTGTGTCATCGATTGTTGCTCTTTTTGAGATTGTACTAGTGGTTGTTGGATCGGTGCTACAGATGGATTAGTTTGCCTAGATTGCACTTGGGATGGTTGAATCTGCTGAAGTCGCACCAATGACTATTGTGCCTGCAACAATGGCTGTATCGACATCTCATTCACTCCCGTTGCTATCTGATTGGTCGGTCAAGACTCTGTTGATGACGGTTGTGACTGCGATATAGAAGAAGACCACGTTAGTGAGGACTGAGTCGGTGCCAATGATAACTGAACCTCTAAGGACTCTATCCATTGTTGAAGTTGCAACTGCGTCTGAGACTGGACTGACTGTGAAATCTCATGAACTGATTGAGGGTGGATCTCTACCGATGATTGATGCTGAGCCGATTCAAAAGACAGTGTCAGTTGCTGGGATTGTAATAGTATAATCGATTGATCAGTCTGTTGGGGCTGCTTCGGTTGTGACCAAACCCGTCGAATTAGTCCAGATGGAATATCTTGACACTCCATCGGCGATGAATATGACTGGTGGACATGTGCCGATTTAGATGCTGTTTGCCGATGTTGTAACTGCATCTGTTGGATCTGTTCTGTTGCTGAACCATTATACTGATGCTGAATCGGTTGTAAGTAAACTTGCTGGACCGGTGTCGATGATAGCTGAATCTGTGAACACTCCATCGACGACTGATGGTACTGCATTGATTGCAACTCCATAGATCGTGTCATCCACTGATCGGCCTGTTGAAACCTCCCTGGCCGTGTTTACGATTGCTGGATATACATCGTGATAGCTGACTCTGCTGTGACTGTAACGACATCTATTGAAAGGTCACCATTGGCTGCTGAAACTGTTGTGGCTGATGATCAAAAGCTGTAGACTGTTGTCCATCATCTTCGAATAGAACTTGTGAATTGCTCTGACCACCATCGAGCCAATCATAACAACCGAATTGATGCAAACGATTGCTAAAAATGGCTTGCCCCCCGAGACTTGAAGGTTCTTGTATTATCAGACTTTGATCTCTTTCATCGGCGCTGCTGAATTGCCGATCTATGTCATATTGATCATCTGATTGGATAAAATGACATACAGCTCTATAATCGGTTGCTTGAGAGTTATAATCGGCATAAGCGTTCAAAATCAGTGCATTAACTAGATTTGCATCTTTCTGGTGATCAACACTATTTTGGCACCAACCGTAGCCATGGCACTCAATTTGCTACTTCTGTTGTTGATCGGCGACATACACAACCCTAGAGCAAGGTTGTGCCGATGCAAGCTATTGGAAAATCTGCCCACCCAGTGGTGATGGGTTATATTGTGTATAGTGTTGTGTGGATGGAGGTTGTTTAGATATTTGCCCACCAAGTGGTGATGAGCTATATTGGATATTGGGGGATGTGTATGTAAGGTCTTACCCATGGCACCTGGCTTTCCCCGGCGAGCTTGTCCGGCCGATCATTCCGCTGGCATCTCGCATTCACGCCCCCGTTTGACTGCCACTCGGGGATGTAGTTGTAGATAGGTTAGTCTTAGTGGGTCGTTGGCTCCACCTGTTATCTCCTTCTATGACATGCTGTTGTCGTCGCCATATTCCATATGTCACTTAGTCATCTCTGCCTCGCTGCGGGTCAGCACCTCCGAAAGAAATGGAGGACTTCATTCAGTGACCCCGCGATCGCCCTCTGAACGACTTCGTAGTATACCTTACAAAGCGGGAGGGCTCGTCCCTTCCTTGGCGAAAAGGGGGACCGCCTTGGAATTTTCAGGCGACTGACTACATGGACAAAGGGTATAGACCGGACCTCCAAAATTGTTAAAGGTATAATATTGGGTGCTTAGATACACCATGACAAGGGAAAAGGAAAAGAATCTTTTTGGGATTTTTTAATGATACAGAAAACTTCGTGGTATGATGACAGAATTCAAAGGTTTATAAATCAAACTAAAACTTGTCCCACTAGGCGTGCCAAATTAGGTTTTGCGTGAAAATTGTGCACCTAAAACCGTGGAAATAGGGAAACAAAAATCACCCAAAACACATTTAAATCAAACGATTGTGGTTGAGTTCGAATCGGCCTCGAACCATGATCGAGAACTTAGGGTTATTGACTTTAGTTTGAGAAAGATAGGTAGAAAATAGGGAAAGTGGGAAAAAATCGAAAAGACGGTGTTTGACTCATAAAGAGGAAAATCCTAGCGCCGGCAAGCTATAGATGGTGCCGATGACACGCTATTACAAAGATATTAGCGTCGACTAGACCTTGTCAATGACACGCTATGACATAGAAGACAAACACAAGACGGACGTTCAGAGGGTAGTGCGACTCACATAAGTGTTAGAACACCTATTACAGAATAACTGAATTCATTGGAGGAGAAAATGATGAACACCTACCTAATTCTATGTAGGAGAAAAAGGCAAACAACTACCATAGGAAAAGTAAAAACATGATAAACAGTACAAGAAAGAAAGAAAACCAGTTTTATGGTTGATTGGTGATGATTTTCTCTTCATGGCTGCCTCTATTTATAGTGCTTGGATGAAACTCTTGCTGTCCTATGATTCCTTGGAGAAAAGGTAGCTTAACATGGTCAATTTTCTTAAAAATAGGCAATTATTCCTGCAGCAGTCTCCCAATCGGTTGATGACTCTTCTCACAATCAGTTCTTAATTTGGTAATAGAATTCTTTTCCAAACATATCTCCTTTAATTATTTATAATTTTCCTTATAAAAAGGAGCAAGAAATAAGGAAGAATCTTCCTTAATTGTCAATTAATCACGCAGCCGATTATGGAACAATTCTATTCCCACTTAACTTATACTTTCCTTCTCCAATTCTGAAACTGTTCACACTCAACCAGCCCATATTGATCCCAAATGTATTTTGGCCACTTTTCGGCTATTTTAGAGCCTTAAAACCTTAGCCATAATCATATAAATCCACCGAAACTCCTGGGCCAAGACTCACATCTCTCGCCGGCCCGAATAGCAAAATACTGGCCAAACAGAATGACTCAGCTTTGAAAAAGACAATCTTAATAAGCAGCTAAAGAAGTGAGTGTTTTACCAAGAGATGATTGATCCTCTTGCAACGGAGTGAATTCTGAAGGGATGAAATCTCATTAGCCAATTCCTCGACAAGCACCAAACTCTGCTTCAGAAATTCCATGCTGGATTCCCGGTATAGACCATTTGCAAATGCTCTGAGGTCTGTGATAATCGTGTTGAGTTTGAAGAATTGCTCACTGAAAAGCATCCAGGGAGAAGAAATGTGGAGTTGCTCCTTGATAACCAGCTCTGTCTTAAGAAGACAAATGTTTGCAAGTAACTCGAAGCAAGGCGGAAAGCAGTGGATAAGATTTCGCTTGTCATCCGCAGGATGCAAAAAGGTCGACTCCCGTTGCAACCTACGATGGACAAAGGCTGCCTCCATCAGCACAGCCTTAATCTCTTCAGAGAAAGCGATGACATCCTCACCACCACCAACAATGCGTAGTCTTCTCTTTCGCCATGAAATGAAATCAAAACGGATAAGAAAGATAAAGTCTAAAAAATACATTGCATGTTAAATAGAGATAAACTGAAAGCAACGGGTGCAGCCATGGAGATGGACCCTGATGCTGCTAAAGAACTTGCAATGAAACAGGAGTTCAAGAGAGCAGAGGTAATATTGCTAATGTGCGTTCATTAACACTGTTTGATGATTGTTTGGGGTTAATGTCTTAACCTGAGTCCTTCCGTTTGTCATGCTCTCACTTCACAGGAGAGCATGGGTCTGGTACACAAGAACAACTTGGAATGGGCTAAATGCATTCTGAAGTGCGGTTTAGATGTCCAGGATGAAGGGACTCGAGCTGCTATATCTGAAAAACTTTATCAGCATGCCATTTTGACTAGGAAAATAAATTCTCTGAAGGATAGCAGTGACAAGGATGAGTCTGATATTGATTTGGGCCCAGATGATCCATCGGCATTGTTAAAAACAGCCAAGGAGAAAACTCTTGAAGCAATGGAAGAGGATGAAGAGTTGCCGAATTCAGGAGTTGCATCTTTGCCTTTCATGGTAGTACTCTGATTCCATTGTGATTCGGAGTTTATTTTTCATTTTGTATTTCCCGTATGTAGCAATATTAAATTGTCACATACTTACTGGATTGAAAAAGAGAGTTGGAATGTGTTACCATGTCTTTGTTAGACTTTAGTTTATGAAACTGCTTCTGATGTACCAGGTTCGTAGTTTGAAAAAGAGAAAAGAAGAAGCTGACAGGGAAGCAAGGGCTGCTCTGGATGATTACAATTGTTCGTTGAAGCAACTGGAAGATAAGAATGAGAAACAAAATACAAATCCTGATGTTGTCAGTGGGAAAAGAGCTTTTGGTCCTACTAAAAAGCAAATTAAAAAGGTTCAAGATTCTAGTGACAAAATGAGGTCTGATAATTTTTATGGTCATAGTGATAGTGAAGATAGCCTAGAAGGTGTGGAAGATGAGCAGAATCAAAGTTATAATGAGTCTCTTGATATCAATATTGATCGAAATACGCTACTCAATGAGTATGAGATTGGTCATGATGCACTCGTTAAGGTGACGTCCCATTCTCTGTTTGTCCCAAATTCTGCAGAATTATTTTCCTTCTGATCTGATTAAGTTGCTCTTATCCCTTTTCAGAGTTTTGAGGATATTGTTAAGAAACCAGGCCCCAAAACCACACATGAAGTTGCTATTTTTGCATCCAATTCATGGCAAAAGGTTAGCTTTCTTCAAAAAGTTATGTGCTTTATTTGGCTTATCGAACATTCTGATAGTGTGTTTTCTCGATCATTTGCTGTGACAACAGTAGAAAAAGTTGCCAGAAGGCTCAAATCAGCAGTCCTACGCAGCCAAGATATGGAGGTACATCCTTCACTTTGTTATCATAATGATATGTCGCATATGCAACACCACTCAGGAAGGTTTTCGCTTGATCATGTGTTTATATTTCCTGCATTTGTGTAGGGAGACGACGGGGATAGTGACTCGGGCGGTGAAGGACAGATAGTGGATGGGATTTTGTCTTCTGGTCCCCGTTCCACGTATGAACTTCCATCCCATGAAGAACTTATTCGGCGGGCGTTTGCCAGTGATGTTGAGGAGGAATTTGAAAAAGATAACGAAGAGGTTCTGAATGAGGAAAATCCCGAACCAGAGAAACCATCTTTACTTCCATGGTGGGGTCAGTGGACTCACATTCAGGAAAAGAAAGGAATTCCTTCCTGGATGCTGAAAGAACACGAAATTGAAAAAAAGAAGAGAGAAGAAGAAGTTAAAAAGAGGAAGGATACAGATCTAAAGCATGTTATTATATCTTAAACGTTGGATAAGAAGGTTTGTTTCTCCTTTCTCTTCATATGTTCAGAGCAATTGTCCAAATCTTGTCTCTTTTTTGCTTCGCTTACTTACTTATTGATGCAATTATTTGGTGTTTGCAGGCAGCAAAACTTTTGCAAGGACATTACCATTCCCATTCGCATCCAAAGAAGTTTTTGAACAGAGCATCTGGATGCCCATTGGCCTAGAATTTAATCCTGCTACAGCGATTGGAGCGCTGATACGTCTAGAAGTGAGTCTACTTTTTAATTCTGTTGCCTTGTTTTCCCTGTTCAGATGAAGACTTGGTGCGATATGTATTATGGTAAACATCAACTGCCCTTTCCTGTCTGGTGATAGTTTGATTGTGATCTAATCTTTTTGAGTTTTATTTTTGTCAGGTGGTAAAGAATCCTGGTGGGATTATAAAGCCAATTAAGCAAAAGGATATCAATCTCCATGAAAGGTCGGAGGACAGAGGAAAAAGAAAACACAAACCACCGAAGAGCAAAACTAGAAGCAATTCCACCATTTCTTGGAAGTCAAAGTAACATTTTAGTTTTTTTTTCTTTTAATTTTTTAAAATAAAAAATGTACTCCCTCCTGTCCTTATTACAAGGCATTTTGAATTTTCCTAAATTTACCTAGTATACATCTTTAATTGAAAAAAAAACCTTAAAAATATATTTTTACATTTGATGTGTTCTCTTGATTGTTATGATATATTTTTAAGGTTTTTTCGTCAATTAAAAATATGTACTAGGTTAAACATAAGACGAATCAAGATGCCTTATATTAAGAACTGGAAGGAATATATGTTAAGAGTTTCGAGTATTATATTAATGTTAAGATTCCCACCCATCGAGGTGCCTACAATTCAGCGAGAGGGATTAGTCACTGTTACCGACGATGGACACCCTGTAAATATGAAAAAAAAACAATCTTAAGATTTTTGAACAACTATAAATTGATGTTTGAAACAATAATTTCTGTCACATCTTGTGATTTTTGTTCTTTCACATGCAGAGAAGAACCATTTGTAGCTATTAGTGTGTCATTTGTTTTAGAATCTAATTTAGTTAATTAGAACTAGCCCATCTCTTATGCTGCTTGGATTAGTATAACTGTATCACGTAGAAACAAAGGCTTCTTTGAAATTTCCAATTGAAAAGGTAATAATAATTAACCAGTTTTGAAAGGTAATTTTTCTGTGCTGTCCAAGAATTTTATGTAAGTAGATTTGTTTACTTGTGAAAAAGAAATCTTATGGATAATGAAAATTTAGGAGTAGTAATATCATATCTGCTATAAGTTTTTTGCCCTTAGAAATTTACCTGAGTTTCAAAAGCCAATTCTATGTATTAATTACCTGCTATAATTATATCATATCTGCTATAATTTACCTGAGTTTCAAAAGCCAATTCTATGTATTAATTAGATCAAATTCCTGTTATATCAAACGAATCACAGAAAGCATTACTTAAGTAATCATATGATCAGAGTGCGCAAATTCGGACTTTTGTGGATATATTTTTTTCCCTTCAAAATGTCGTGGAGTCCAAAGGAGCTTAGTTGGGTGAGGTATTTTCACAAGTCATATTGGCATTTTCAACAGTAATCGGATTTGACATTTTGATTTCTCTTAAATTTTACTTATTGTAATTTTTAAATTGAAAATAAAACATTAAAAATGCAGTCTTACATTTATGTCTTCTCCCAATTCTTGTAACGTATTTTTAAGGTTTTATTATTAACTAAAAAAACATGATAAATAAAATTTAGCGGAAATCGAAATAACTTATAATAAGAATAAGAATTGGATGGAGTACTTGATAGAAAAGGTATAATGACATAAATATGTCACGAATTCTTTTTTGGCAATCCTATGTGCTCTAGTTTAAAGATTAACCTACGTTTAGAATTTAGTGTATCATCCTCAAAGAATGCAAATTAAATTAGTTGAGTTGTAGCTTTTAAATTGAGATCATTTAGCTAAAAATAAAAATGGGGTTTAGCTGAAGTTGCATATGGACCCTGGGAAGTAGGCAAATAATATTAAGATCCTGCAAGGTGTACCTAGGTAGTGCGTGAACCACACATGGGGGAAGAGAAATTGGAATAATTGAGTCCGAAAAAAAAGAGTCCACAAGCGCATTTATTATGCAAATCATCAGTTTAATTATGTGATCAAATGTTATCCCTTTTTTTCCTCCAAATTTTAATTACGTGAATTAATTCCTCCAAATTTTATCCCCTTTTTTTAGCACATGTTTAATTTCAAATGTTATCTTTTTTAATGCTTATCATGTTAGCTTTTATATTATTTTATTTAATGAGATTATTTTTTTAAAATTAGGTTTCTTCTTGTCGCGCGTTGCGCGACCAGTTTTTATATAAATTATAATTTTTTTTAATAAATTGCAATATGAAAATAGCGGATAACGATTTTTTTTGGCCGATGGTGTATTATATTATTATGATTTTACGATGAATATCTTATGTTAACTAATGAATAACGAGTTGTTATTGATGAATAACAGAAGTTTTGCTAATTGGACGATGTTTCAACTATGAGGAAGAGACTTTTGTTGCTTATAATTCTTACACAAAGCGCATTGATTTTTTCAATAAACAAGTTCAAAGATTGAAAAATGTTCAAATCTAGTGTTGTATATTGAAAACAATTTCCATGTAGCAAACAAGGAGTAAAAAATTCAAGAGATAGGTGCGATACAACAATGAATAATTATACCAAACTGATGAATACGACAATTTCAACAATGAATAATTATACCAAACTGATGAATAACCCTCTATATCAATATCTACACTTATTGTGGTTTGATTTTTTTCAGATTCAGATATCCTGCTTCTTTTGGCTTCTGAATGTTGTTCTTCGCTCATGCTTCTTTCAGATTGTGTCTGATATTCATCGCTTATGCTACAATATATTTACAAATTCCATGAATAACTTGTCAGATGTGATGAATCCGGCAATTTCAACAATGAATAATTATACCAAACTGATGAATAATACAAATATCTAGTAATTTACCAAAAAAAAATAATACTACATAGTGATGGTAAACGATGAATCTGGCAATTTTAACAATGAATAATTATACCAAACTGATGAATCATGCAAAGATCTAATAATTTACCAAAAAACAATACTACATAATTATGGTAAACGATGAATTTGACAATTTCAACAATGAATAATTATACCAAAACTGATGAATAATACAAAGATCTACTACTTTACTAAAAAAAAAAAACAATACTACATAGTTATGGTAAACAATGAATCTTACAATTTTAACAATGAATAATTATACCAATCTGATGAATAATACACAAATCTACAATTTACCAGAAAAACAACATCCAATAGAAGAACAAAACTCTAAAATTGATGAATCTGATAATTTCAATAGTTATAAAAACGATGAATCTGATAATTTCAACAATGACTAATTATACCAAATTGATGAATAATTCTCAGATCTTCTAATTTACCCCAAAAAAAAAAACAAATCGAAGAACATATCTCTAAAATTGATGAACAAATATCATTAATTGAGTGAACATACCTTAGATCTACATAACCCAAACAAAAAAATCACGCCAATAATTGAAGAGAGTAGTTGTATTACCTCGCTTCCCCTTCATCCTCTGATTTGCTCATACTCAGTTCAGAATCCTCAGCCATAGGCATCTACATGAATATTTTAAGAAAAAATAACATTCATCAAACCAGAATCAAACAACAATGGATAAACACAGAAAAATCGGTGAATTTGACCAGAATACACCTTAATCCTCATCTTCAGTATTGTAACTTGTAATCAGAATTACCGTTTTTTATGAACGATTCGATTCAGACTTCGGAAGTCCCGCCGACGGTAGCTTCTCTGAATGTATCACTGCAGGATTGATTTTTTGGGGTTTCGTTTTATTTTTTTGATTTGGGGGAGTAATGGAATAGATCGAATGGAATGTTAGATCATCAATAATGGCTGAAAATTAGGAGATAATGGTGGTTATTAAGATTTGAAAATCAAAAAATCGCGCATAAAGGGGTATTAAATGGGCACGTGTTTTTCACTCGGGTGGCAGTGACGTAATTTTTGGAAGTCCCCATTTTTTTAAGCGCGTGTATATCAAATTGGGTACATCTTCCTATGTGTAGCTAGGATCTCTATATTATAATTGTTGGGAAGTAAGCTGAGTGTTGTACCTATTTGGTACCAAGTCTATCAATGGGTAAACAATAATTAGATCATTTATGAAGGGAGTTTGGGCCTTTGCTCCAAAAACTATATATTGCTTCCATCTTCAACTAAATGGAATACTTCATAAAAGTTACACGAAATTGTGGTTTTTCGACTGTATTTATTGGTGTTAATATAATTAGAGCAATGATATTTCACTCTATAAATTTGACTCGACACTTATTTTTATTTATATATTTATCTAGTTGATATTTCACACCACCTTCTTAACAATTATTTTCTATAACAACCAATGCAATAACCAATACTAATTGATTCAATGAAACTTGATTAAAAACAACTTTTATCCTTTTTCCTTTTTCTTCTTTGTTTCCTGCATGTATATATTTTTTCTTTCACCACATTATAGCAGAACCCTATACCATAAAGAGAAATTTAGGTTCCTCTTTACGAACTGAAAAATGGAATTCCTCCTCAACAGCCTCTTCATCGCAAATTTGTGAGAGTTGATTAAGCCACCGACTTTATCACAACCAGCTACAATTAAAAAAATTGTACAAAACCCCATGCATGCCAGATTGAAGGTGACGTTGAGAAAAAAAAAGAAAAGAAAAGAAAAGCAAGGAAGACATTAATTGAAATTGTTTTACATTTTTTTTATTTATCATATTTAGTATGCCAGTTATAGTACTTAAAAAGAAGCTATGGTGTTTCATTTTCTATTTACTATTGAAAATGACTTATAACAAGTAACTAGTAATAAAATTCCAATCTCTTTTTCAAGCCTTGTTTTACCATTCCGATGCACTGTCATTTGCTTCTTCTCATTCTCCCATTTTTCTCTGGTTTTATTTTGTTCTTCTTCCATTTTCCTCTGGTTTGCTTTTGTTCTTCTTGATGAATTTGTAAATGACATTATACGTGACCAAAAATGGAAGGGGAGAGCTCCTTAGTATCTGTACAACATCATGATATGTCAAGGAAGAGACTCGTGAGAAGCAAGATTTGCCCCGCTTTTTGAACCTATTAGAAGCCAAGAAACTCAACAAGGTTGGTATTTAATTTGAATAATATAGTTAATTTTGTCATTTAGTTGATTTGTATGTTTCTCACAAATTTTTTATTTTTTGAACAAGATCCAAGTACGGATGAAAATGCGAAGACTCCGGATGAAAATGTGAGGACCCCGGTAAACGAGGAAAAGACTGCAAATATACCAATTCGAATCCTAACACTTGCAATCATTGGAGGAATCACAATTGGTTTTGCAATGGCATTTCCAGGTGAGTACTATTTGTGGCTTCATTAGTGGGGTA